TCTGTGGGTTGTGTTTTGATTCCAGTAGCTGTTTCTTTTGATGTCCAGAAACTTTAAAATTTGGTATAGTCCCATTTGTCAATTATTGCTATTATTTCCTGGGTAATTGGAATCATATTCAGAAAATATTATCTACACCTGTATCTTCCAGTTCTCCCCATTTTTTCCTGTAGTAGTTTCAGGTTTTGCATGAAGATCTTTGCTCCATTTAGAGTTCATTTTTGTGCAGGGTGAGAAATAGGAATCTACTTTAAGTCTTCTACGTGTAGATAGACAGTTTTCCCAGTGCCATTTGTTCTCAATGTATGTCTTTGGCTCCTTTGTCAAAGATCAGATGGTTGTAGTTGTGTGGTTTTATTTATGGGTCTTCTATTCAATTGCATTGGTCTTCGTGTTTATTTTTGTGCTAGAAATGTGTTTTTGTTACTATAGCTCTGTAGTATAATTCGAAGTCTGGTATTGTGATTCTTCCAGCATTATTCCTTTTTTGCTCAGAGCTACTTTTGGTACTTGGGGTCTTTTATTCTTCCACATGAATTTTATGACTTTTTTATTTCTGTAAAGAATGACATTAGGATTTTGATGGGCATTACATTGAGTCTGTAGTTTGCTTTTGGTAGTATAGTCATTTTTCATGATATTAATTCTGCCAATCCATGATCATTGGAGGTCTTTCCATCTTCTGGTGTCTTATGTGGTTTCTTTCTTCAGTGTTTTATAGTTTTTGTTGTAGAGGTCTTTTCACCTCCTTGGTTAAGTTTATACCTAGATGTTTTATTTTTTGAGGTTATTGTGAATGGGGTTGTTTTCTGATTACTTTCTCAGCCTGTTCATTGTTGGAATATGGAAAAGCTACTGATTATTATATGTTGATTTTATGTCATGTTGCTTTGCCAAAAGTGTTTATCAATGTAGAACACTTTTTGATGGAATCGTTGGGGCCTTTTGAGTATGAAATCATATCATCTGCAAATAGGTATAATTTGATGTTTTCCTTCTCTATTTGAATCCCTTTTATTTCTTCTCTCTTGTTCTATTTCTCTGTCTAGGAATTCCAGAACTATATTGAATAAGAGTGGGGAGAGAGGGCACCTTTGTCTCTTTAGAGGAAATGGGTTCAGTTTTTTCCCCATTTAGTACGGCATTGGCTACAGGTTTATCATATATTGCTGTTAGTATGTTGAGGAACATTTCTTGTATTCCTTGTTTCTTCAGAGATTTTATCATATAAGGTTGTTGAATTTTGTCAAAGGCTTTTTCTGCATCAGTTGAGATGATCCTGTTCTTTATTCTGTTTATATACTGTTTACATTTATTGATTTATTTATGTTGAACTATCCTTGCATCCATGGAATGAAAACAGCTTGACCATGGTGTATGATCTTTTTTTAATGTGTTGTTGAATTCAATTTGCAAGCATTTTGTTGAGTGTTTTTTGCATCTATTGTCATTAAAGTGAGTAGTCTATAATTTTTTCTTTTTGTGTTGTGTTATTGTCTGGTTTTGGAATGAGTGTAATTCTTGCTTCATAGAATGAGTTTGGTAATTTTCCTTCCTTTTCTATTTCTTGGAATAGTTTGAGGAGTATTGGTGCTAGTTCTTCTTTAAAGATCTGGTAAAATTTAGCAGTGAATTGGACTTGGGCTTTTTTTGATAGATGACAATTACTGTTTCAGTCTCATTGCTTATTATTGTTCTGTTTAGGTGGTTTATATCTTCTGGATCAATTTTGGTAGGTCAAATGCATCTAGAAATTTATCCATTTCATTTAGACTTTTCAGTTTGTTTTGAATACAGGTTTTTAAAGTATTTCCTCATGATCCTCTGGATTTCATTGATATTTCTTGTAATATCGCTGTTTTCATCTTTAACCTTATTAATTTGTGTCTTTTCCCAACTTCTTTTATTTGCTAAGACTTGTTTTGTGTCCTAAGATGAGATCTATTTTGAAGAAAGTTCCATGGGTTGCTGAGAAGAAAATAACTGTGCAGCTACTGGATGAAATACTCTATAGATATTTGGTCTATAGTGTCATTTAATTCTGAGATTTATTTTTTGATTTTTTTGTCTTGATGACCTATTTATTTGTGAGAATGGGGTACTGAAGTCTCCTCTTATTATTGTTTTGGGGCCTGTTGTAAGTCCAGTAGTGTTTGTTTAATGAGATGCACTAACATTTGGCACATATATGTTAATTATTCCCTTTGTTAATATGTCTTTTCTCACTAATTTTGACTTGAACTCTACTTTATCAGATATGAGTATAACTATTCCTGCTTGCTTTGGAGGTCTGTTTGCTTGGAAGATTGCTTTCCACTATTTCATCCTAAGCCAATGTTTATTTTTGCCAGTAAAATGCATTTCTTGTAGACAACAAATGGTTAGTTCTTGCTTTTTGATCCAGTCTTTTGATTGTATGTCTTTTGATTGGAGAAGTGAAGCCATTCACATTCAGTATTAATATTGAAAAGTGTGTAGTAATTCACATTTTGTTGTTTTTATAGTGTTAGAGACTTTTCTTTATTTGCTTATATACTCATCTGGTGAGATTTTTTTCCCCATATTTTCATGATTAGATTTATCTTTCTCTTCTTTGGGTAGGATTCCTTGAAGTATCTTCTGCAGTGCTGGTTTAGTGGTCATAAATTCCTTTTTGTTTATCATGGAAGGTCTTTATTTTTCCTTCAGTTATGAATGATGTCTTGCTGAGTAGAATAAGATAGGTTGCAATTATTTTCTTTCAGTATTTGAAATACCTCATTTTTAGCCCTTCTTGCTTTCGAGGTTTCTTTTGAGAAATCTGCTGTTATTCTAATGGATTTGTCTTTATAGGTGACTTGGTGCTTCTCCCTTGAAACTTGCAATATTGTTTCCTTGTTCTCTGTGCTGAATGTTTTAACTTTAATGTGTGTAGAGAGATTCTATTTTGACTGTGTGTCTTTGGAGTCCTAGAGGCCTCCTGTACCTGGATGGTTATCTCTTAAGATGTGGAAGTTTTCTGCTATTATTTTTTTTAATATGTTTCCTATAGCTTTAGCATGCACCTCTTCTCCTTTGAAGCCTCTGACTTATAGGTTTGGTCTTTTAATGGAGTCTCAGAGTTCTTTTATCTTCCATTCATTGTTCTTTATTTTTTTTCCTTTTTCTTCACCTGAGTGTTCCAATGCACTTAACTTTTCTTCAGGCCCCAATATACTGTCTTCAGTTTGATCTAATTTGGTGGAGAGAATTTCCAGTGAGTTTTTTATTTGACTTATTGAACTTTTTATTTCCAGAGTTTCAGTATGATTCCTTTTTTTTATTATGCTGGGTGGGGGTACATTGTAGCATTTACAAAGGTTCTTACAATGTACCAAATATATCATACTTGAATTTGCCCCCTCCACTGCTCTCTTTCATCCTCCATCACCTGATTCCTGGAACAGTTTAAACAGGTATCATTTTTGTATTTACGTACACGTGTATACATTATTTGCACCATATTCATCTGCCTACACCTTTCTCCACTTTTCCCCTCCTCTGGTGCCACCCTTCCTGGAAGAACCTGTTCCACCCTTGAGTTCTCTGATTTTGTAGAAGAAAAAAACATAAAAGATAAAAAGAGAAGCATGCATTTTTGCTAGTGTGAGATAAAGATACCTACACAGGGAGTTTCCTTGTTTTGTTCCTATGCATATATCTATTACAACCCTAATTGGTTCATCTCTTCCAGTACTCTTCACTCCCTCCTAGTCCACTTCCCATGGTCGTCCTGGGCATTTTCTTTTTCAAGATTTCTGTATCTTTTATGAATTCCTCTTTTATATTCTATACTGTTTTCCTAATTTTGTTCAACTGTGTGTTTATATCCTTTTTAAATTTATCTATCTTTTTGTGTCTTTCATTTCTTTGAATTAATTCATGTTTGTACATATCCTCTTTCTTTTCATTGATCATTCTTATAATCATTTTTTTGAATTCTTTGGGCTCTCTTCCTCTATACTAACCTTAGGGACTGTTGCTGTAGAGTTCTTGACCTCTGAGGGTATTATGTTACATTTTTTTCCCATATTTCTTATGTGCCTGAGGCCAAATTTGTTGGTTGGAAATTTTAATCACCAGTGATCTGTAGTTGAAGTATTCTCAGTGTTTAGGCAGGACTGTGTAGTGGGAGGGTTTCAGTGTAGTTTCTCACTACTGGACTGAAGGATAGCTCCATAGGCTAACTTTTGACCATGTGTCCAAGTCTCCAGATGTGGTCCCCAGCACCACTGAGAGGAGACATAGCTGGAGTCTCTTGTGTTTCCTTGTTTATGGGTTAAGTGTTATATGTGGGGTGAGGGTGGGGTTATATGGGCCTGCCATGCCAGTAGCAAGACCCATATATACCTAACTTGCTTCATTATTTGTCCATTAATAACCACTCTTAGTGTTGTCCACATCTTAGCCTATTGCCCTCAGTCAAAGAAGAATACTGGGATTGCATAATGATGCTGATAGGCTCTAAATATTGCTAATTAACACAAGGTAGAGAGTGTAAATAGTGTGTCTCCTCATTGGTTTGCTATCTTCCCTGCTCTCATACACCCCTTTGTTTATGGGTTTTTGTAAGGAATCTGAGAGAAAGTGTTTTTTTACAGGAAGAGAACAAGATCACTAGTGAACCTAATTTGGCTCCTTATGTCATATCTAATACCTAGTAGAACTTTGTTAAGGTTGCTTGTAAATAAAGGTTGCTATTCTGTTTTCCAGTGTTGACACATCATCTCCCTATTTTTTTATTTTCTTGGTTACTTCAGTGAAATTTTTTGAGATGTATGAGGCAGTGAATAGTTTTTGTTTATCTCACAATGTTTTGTCTAATGTATACAATTTTATGAACATGTTTGGTTTGATAAAAATAAGGACAAAATCATTTTAACCATTTATATTTACATGCAAACTTTATATAAAGATAATTACATTTAATTTTTACAGCCATCTGTTCAGAAGTTAATTATTACTTATTTGCTTTTTAGAAAATGGATTCTGCATCTCTTTTACCAACATTTTTAGATGTGGATCTGACAGTATCACATATAGAATGTCTTCCCAAAGATATTTTGGTGAGATTTCAAGGCAGAAACAACAGTGAATGTCAGTTTGACTACCACATATTGCAGAAAGAAATTCAGCATATTCCAAAAGTGAAAAACAATGTGGACATTGATGAGTTTTGTTTGGTGGAAGAAAGAATAACTGGAGAATGGCACAGAGGAAGAGTCATGGAAAAGAAAAATGACCTTTATATGGTGCTCCTCATAGATCGTGGAGAAGAAATAAGAGTTGATAGTACTCATGTTGCCTCAGCCTGTGATAATTTATTTGAGCTACCACCACGGGTTATATTTGGTATTTTTGCCAACATCCTTCCACTTGGGGAAAAATGGTCTCCTAAGGCTTTGAATTATTTCAAGTCATTAGTAGGAATACAACTGAAAGGTTATGTACAAGCTATTTTGCCTCTGCACATGATTCTTTTTGAGGTGCCAAAAGTTATATCTGGGGCTCTTGAATTACAATTAGGAAGATTTATTGATGGAGATTCATTTCGTCTCATTGTAGAAATGTTAAAAGAATATCCTAAACAAATGCCAGATTTATTACAACATAATATACCTGAATTTTCATTAAGTAATAAGGATACTTTACTTGATATTCAACATGTTCTGGATAATTTGCAGCCATCTTTGATGGTAGGAAGTTTTGAGAGTATAAAGGTATCTTCTGCGCTGAGCCCAAGTAAATTTTATTGTCAGTTAATTAAATGGATTCCAGAGCTAGAAAACTTGACAGTATGTATGAACTTGCATTATGATATTATCAGTCAAGAAGCTAGTCCTGCATGTGACAACTTTGGATTGCTTTGTGTTGCTAAAAGGAGAAATGGACAGTGGCACAGAGGAATTCTTCAGCAGCTCTTGCCCAACAATCAAGTAAAAATTTGGTTTATGGATTATGGCAGTACTGAGAATATTCCCTCAATTCATGTAAAGAAACTAAAGCAGGATTTTATTTTAGTACCATTGTTTTCATTTCCATGTTCTTTGACATATTTACACAGTCCAGACAGAGATGCAAGAAAATTTCAACTGAGTGTATTTAAGCAAGCATTATTAGGACAGATAGTATATGCACACATTGACTGGTTCAATAAGGATGATCATTTGTATTATGTGACATTGCAAACTCAAGAATCTGCAACTAATTCTAAGTGTCTGCTGAAGACACTCTGTCCGGTGTCTTATTCAGAAATCTTCAACACCTTGAGTGAGAAAAATACTTCTGATGTAAACAGTTCCACAGTTGATGGTTTTATTACAAATGATGAACACTCAATAGATGGTCTAGTTAAAAAAAGCACTTTAAAAGTAGATTTTCCTATTAAAACAGTAGAAATGGAGATAGAGGCTGCCTACATAGCTTTTGTAGCATACGTATTAAACCCATCAAATTTCTGGGTACATCTCAGTGAACACCAGAATGAATTTCACGATATAATGGAAAATATAAACAAATTTTATGATTCATGTGAAAATGAAGAACTGATTCTAAGAAATCCTGAACCTGGATTATTTTGTTGTGCCAGATATAGCAAGGACAGATGTTTTTACAGAGCTGTGGTGACTAAAGTTGATGGCCATAAGATTAATGTCTATTTTTTAGATTATGGCAATACTGATTCCATACCATTTTTTGATGTAAAAGTTTTGCTTCCAGAGTTCTGCGAGTTGCCTGCCTTAGCTGTGTGTTGTTCACTTGCGTATATATTTCCTGTTGAAGATTTATGGATAAAGGCTGCAGTTGATTATTTTAAAAAGATTGTTTTGAATAAAGCAATTTTGCTTCAAGTTACAGCAAAAAAAGATGATAAGTACATGGTAAATATTCAGAGTATTGAAGCCTCAGAAAATATTGATGTTGTCTCTCTTATGTTACAAGCAGGGTATGCAGACTATTGGGAAGTAGAACCAGAATGTTTTCCAAAATCTGTAAGTGAATATTCAGTGTTAAATTTAAAATCAAAAAACAAAGTTAATATTAAAAAAGTTGTATCTTCCCTTCTTGAAAGGCCTAAACTTAAAAACTACCATTTGAATAAGCTGGAAGAGAATTGCCCATCTTTGTACAAGTTCCCAGATTTAAAAAGTTTTTTCACCATGTCTGTTGGACCTGAATCATCAAGGCCATTTAAAGAATATATGTTTAAACCAGGAACAATTCTTGAAGTCAAATGCTCTTATTTTTATGGCCCAGGTGACTTTTCATGTCAACTCCAATGTAAGTTAGAAGACTTAAAATTACTGATGGAACAAATTCAGAATTATTATAGCATTCATTCTGATCCTTATCAGACTGGACAAATTGCTTGTGTTGCTAAGTATTCCAAAGATGGAAAGTGGTATAGAGGTGCTGTTTTGACTCAAGTATCAAACAAAGAAGTCGATATAATATTTGTTGACTATGGTTACCAAGAAAGAGTTTTAATTAAAGATCTTTGTGCTATTAATCCACATTTTCTGTTTTTAGAAGGCCAAGCCTTCAGATGTTGCCTGACCCATTTAGTTGAACCCATTAGTTGCAAATTACTTGATTGCACTAGAGAAGCAGCCAGAGACTTTGAAAATTTCGTTTCTTCCTCTAGAGGGTTGTTGACTTGTATCATATATGCTTTAGTTCTTATACATCCTAATTGTTTATGTAATTTAGTCGATTTACAATCATCATTTACTGGTACAAAAGAATTTCATATTAATTGTGGCTCCACACAGTATAGTGTGTTATCAAAACCACTCCCATTTTCAGTGAGTCTTTATAGTTATTATTATTCTTCCTTTAATATAAACATTGGGAATGAAGAAGAAGTATATATCTCTCACATATATAGTCCTCAGAATTTTTATTGCCAGCTTAGTAGAAATAATAAAGATCTAGAGTTGCTGGAGAAAAAAATTACAGAGATGATTAGTCTCAAAAATTATTCAAAATATGATTCTAATGAATTGAGGCTCTGTATCTCTAAATATGTAGGGGATGGTCTTTCATACAGAGCTTTAGCCCACCCTACAGACTCATCCTCTGACTTTCTGGTTTATTTTGTGGACTTTGGAAATAAGCAATTAGTACAAGAAAATATGTTGAGGGCAATTTCTGATCAGTTTCCAGAGTTACTGTTTACACCTATGCAAGCTATTCAGTGTTTTTTGTCAGATCTTAGAGATATTTATATTCCAGCAGAAATCAATAGTTGGTTTGAGGACAATTTCTTGGGGAAACCATTAAAAGCAGTAATAATATCCAGAGAATCAGATGGCCAACTTGGTGTAGAATTATATGATGAATATCAACATATAAATCAGACAATTAAAATGTTGCTTAATGCTTATGGAAAAGAGCATTCTGACCAAGCACAGTGTGTGAAAGGCAGTCATAAATTAAGTGAGAATAAGAGACTTGCTGCTTCCTTTAAAGACAAAATAGAAAAGAGCTATCACCATAATGCGATAAATAAAACTAGTCCAGTAACATATTCTGAAAAGAAAGTAGATCAATCAGTGCATCCCAAAACTATATTTGCCAGGTTTCTGAAACCATCAATTTGTTATAAAATTGAGCCTCTGTCAAAAAACAAAGTGAAGAAGTCATTCAATGACAGAATTAAATATAAAGGTGTAAAATTTGTCTCTGGATCTGCACATATTCTTGACGAATGTAATGTGGGCCAAAAGTCAGGAAGGATTGTATCACAGTCATTTACCAGAAATTTAAATCAGCCCTCACAAGAGCCATGCAGTTTTATTAGACCACAAATTAAAGACCTTCCCCAACTCCAAATTTACTTGAATACCCAAGTTAAAGGGTATGTGTCTAACATCAGCAGTCCAGCAAGTTTCCATATTCAGCTTGCTGAGAATGAAAACATAATCATTAGACTTGCAGATGCTCTGAATGACAAAATTGCAAGTAGAGTGAAGGGGCCAGGTTCGCTTAACCCTCTGGTGGGAGACCTTGTTGTTGCAGAGTACTCCAGCGACAGTGCAATTTACAGAGCAGTTATTAAAAAAATTTTGCCAGATAATTCTTTCGAAGTGGAATTTTTTGACTATGGAAATACGGCAATAGTCAACATGTCTAAAATTTATGAACTTAAGAGAGAATTCTTAAGTATCCCTCAGCTAGGAATCCATTCTTTTCTTAGTGGAGTGAAGTGGAATAAACCTGATGAAATATGGGACAGTAAAACTGTGGATTATTTTGCCTCAAGAGTAAGTAATAAAATAGTTTTTTGTGAATTTTTGAAAAAGCATGACCACAAATGGGAGGTAAATATACTTTCTGATGGAAAATGTGTCACCAATGAACTACTGAAATGGACAGCTTGTTCAAAACTACAGAACACGGTATTGCAAATTCCTCAGGTTGTCTCCCCAAAAGGACAATCCAATGAATATGGAAGTTCTGTGATCCTTCAACCATCTTCCCAAGCACTGGTTAAAATTCCTCTTGAAATGTTAAAGCCTGGTCAACTTGAAAAAGCTGAAATACTTTGTGTTTCAAAGAATGGAAGATTTTATGTGAAATTATTCAAAAATAATAAAATCTTATCAGATTTAGCAGTATTAATTACTAAAGAAGAAAAAAGTTCTTCTTTCTTATCAATGGAAAATATTGAGAAAGGCTCAGAATGCTTGGCAAAATCTAATCAAACTCTCCAGTGGTACCGATCAAAAGTAGAAAAAAAGTGTTTCGATGAGAAAGTGCTTGTTTTTTTAGTAGATCATGGTAGGTATGAAATAGTGCCTGTCAGAAATACCAAGGTACTTCGTAATGAAATCAGAAATATTCCAAGGCAAGCTGTGCCTTGTAAATGGATTTGGTTTGAAAATTCTAGGAAAATGTCATTTCAGTTCATCGTGTACTTATTTGCTCACTTGGAAATAGACATCCTTTTCCTGAAATATTTAGACTGTGCTTGGGAAGTAGAAATTTTGGTAGATGGCATGTTACTTTTGGAATATTTAAATTTGAATTCATTCCAGGCTGAAGAGAATGAACTTCAGCCTTCAGGAATTATTTTCAAGAGGCAATCTCAGACACGAATGTCATCATTTACGACAAGATTCTTTCCTAGGGCACCACTTCAAAATGGTAGGCATTATTCTGGTATCGCCACTGCTGTTTCTGATCCATCAGACTTCTGTGTTCAGTTGGAAGATTTCTTTGATACAATGAAACACATCTTCATGTTGCTTTCAGATCTATCAGAAACCTTACAAACATTGCCTGAAGAGCTCATAATTCCTGGTTCTAGCTGTCTGTTCAAATATGAATTGGAAGATCAGTGGAATAGAGTAGAAATTTCTGAAGTCTCTGAGATGTATTTACTTCTTGTGCTGATTGACTATGGATTTTCTGTTTATATACCTTATTCAGATAAAATAAATCTTAAAGTTGTTCCGGAGGAACTTTTGAATTTGCCCAGGTTAAGTTATCCATGTGTCTTACATGGCATTTTACCTGCTACAGGGAAACATTGGAATGAAGAAGTTAAAAGTTTTTTTCAAGATTTTCTAAGCCAACAAGGCCTAGTTTTTCAGTTTAGGGAGGGTGGCTCTGAAACAAAACTGACAGTAGATGTCATTCATGAGCAAAAGAGTTTGTCAGATGTGTTAGTTGCATCTAGTCTTGCACTCTATTCTGAGGATTCAGCTCAAGTTAATGCAGTTACTATTACTGGACCCACTAAAACCCAACGCAAATTTCGGAGTAAGCCAGTTTGCCCATTGTTAGATAAAAATTGCTACAAAAAAGAAGATGCACATTGTAGCACTAAGAAGCAAATGCTACAAAAGGTACATATAAGGAGGAAAAATGTCTACAGGAACCTCATCAGGAAAAGCCACATCAATAAAAAGCTGCATTCTAGAAATGTAATGCCAGGAAGTGAAGTTGGTAGTGGAAAACATAATCTCCAAATTGCCATAGTGTTTGATACATGTGCATTAGCTTCATTTGGGAAACCAGCAGATCCTTTGAAGAATAACACCCATTACATTGAAAACGTTTTTGAAAAGCCACCAACTAAAGGAATACAGGAAAATGACAACACAATGAACTTGCAGACTGAAGTGAAAGCATTGCATGTTAATGAAGAAATTGTACCAGAAAACTTAAAAGGTAAGTAACCCTTTTCAAAAATAGATTCTTTTCTGTAGATTCTATTTTTTGTTTTTCATGTGCTAAAATTGTCCAAATTGAAAATGTCATATTGCATCAAAACTTACTAGAAGTCTAAATAAATGGATAAACTGGGAATGATCACTTGGATTGTAAAATGATGTTTTACTATCTTTACTTTTGTGTGTGTGTGTGTTTTTGGGGTGGTACTGGGGTTTGAACTCAGGTGCTTGCTAGGCAGGCACTCTACCCTTGAGCCATGTCCCCCAGGTTATCTTTGCCTTTTTCAAATGTTGAACTTTTCAGAATGTAGTGGAAGTAGAGGATTTTCTTCAGACATACATCCACACATGCAAGAAGTTTTACAAATAATCTCAATAGTTTCACAAATCTTCCAAGGTTCCTAAATTTCAGGTTGATGAGCCTTGTTTTGATTAATGGGTTTCTTACACTCATTTTGAAGAATCAATTTTCTATTTCAAATTATTTCTTAGCAGATAAAATATATCTTTAGGTTTTTTTTTTTTCCGAGTATGCTCCTAGCATATTGCTAAGCCAGATAAAGTTTGTAGAATAAACTGTAGCATATTTTTGGTTAAAACTTTGAGACATCAAACTGATTCTAAACTATTGTTAAAATTTTAATGTTTTATGTAATATAGTGTTGTCTGGTTTTGCTTGTGAATGTTATGTTAATTTTCTTCATGAATTAGTTACTGTAGATTTTGTAGTCTATACTGTCCCTTTGTGAATGTTTGTTCTGACTTCATAAATGTTTTTTCAATATTCTCTGTTGTAACTAGCATCATAATAGATTGCACTTGTTCAATGAGTGGAGGTGTCTTATTTTTAATGAGGCATTGTTAAAAAGTGTTTTATTTGAAATTATATTTAGATTTTTATACTGAATTCATAAATGCTTTAAAATGTGCCCTCTTTTTTTCTTCTAACTTTTGAATTTGTCATAATTATAGCAGTGACTATGGTAGTGTTAGGAGCAGGTACCACATTTTTGAGGGATTACTGCATTCCTACCTCAACTCTGAAGCAAGTTGATATTAAATTTTAGGTGGAGCTTATTAACCAGTGCTCCATTTGTCTGAATTCTAAATCACTTTAGAGAGAGACAAAGATAAACACTACTGGTAAGCAAAATGTCACTCTTCTAAGCATTAAACAAAACCCAAAACGATATTGAACAATGTGGTTTATATTCATGATCGATGGACTCGCCAATACTGAATCAAGAATTATTTAGTCACACAGGCAGATTGGGCAGGGCTGGAGCTACCATGTAAAACTTATTGCCTGAGACAGCTTCAGGACAAGGGGTACCTTTATCCTTGGTCTTGCTGGAGTGATCCTTTTCCTGGAAGCTTGAGTAAGAGAGCAAAGAGAACAGGAGTGTTATGCTACGAGAGTGTCCCACCCATGAGTGGAAGGAGCTTTCTTCCCCAGTCTATCACCATCACCTTATGAGTGAGGCCCCGAGTATTTAAATGTCTTGTCCATGGGTATCAACCTGGTAAGATGACTCTGAGTGTTTTTATCCATTATTTGTCCTGTCTTTTGAAAAGCAGTGAGATTACTTGAGGAAGAGGTTTTGTGGGTTCTTGGCTTTCAAACTGTACATTGTGTCCCTTATATAAAGTCTTTTATTTTCCTTTACCTGTATATATATATATTTTTTTTCTTTTTTATTTTATTATTCATATGTGCATACAAGGCTTGGGTCATTTCTCCCCCCTGCCCTCACCCCCTCCCTTACCACCCACTCCGCCCCCTCCCTCTCCCCCCCACCCCCTCAATACCCAGCAGAAACTATTTTGCCCTTATTTCTAATTTTGTTGTAGAGAGAGTATAAGCAATAATAGGAAGGAACAAGGGTTTTTGCTGGTTGAGATAAGATAGCTATACAGGGAGTTGACTCATTAATTTCCTGTGTGTGTGGTTACCTTCTAGGTTAATTCTTTTTGATCTAACCTTTTCTCTAGTTCCTGGTCCCCTTTTCCTATTGGCCTCAGTTGCTTTTAAGGTATCTGCTTTAGTTTCTCTGCGTTAAGGGCAACAAATGCTAGCTAATTTTTTAGGTGTCTTGCCTATCCTCACCCCTCCCTTGTGTGCTCTCACTTTTTTCAATTTGAGTAGAGATTTTTGGGTCTTTAAGGTATAGGATCATGTCATGTGCAAATAGGAATATTTTGACAGTTTCTTTACCTATTTGTATTCCTTTTATTCCTTCTTCTTGCCTAATTGCTCTGGCCAGGAATTCCAGTACTATACCTGTATATATTTTTGCCAGTATGTTTTTCCCATTAGTTTTTAAAAGAATCTCCTTTTGACCTCCTCTTTGATCTCCTGGTACTCTCAGCACACAGTGAATCCACTATGTGATTGGCAGAGGAAGTAGCCATTTATAAGCAGCCAGAGAACCAAATATTACTGCTCCAAACTGAAAAAAAAATCAATTAAAGTCTCATTCAAGGAAAACTTATAACTTTGAGACAAATAGAAGAAACATGATTTTGTGGACTACAAATAAATTTATGTGCTTGCCACAATTATAATTTTAAAACAAAACAAAACTACACAAAAAAATCTGGCTTAATTTTCTTTACTACTAAGCTTCTTCATCCTCTATTATTCTTCCAGAGTCACCACTGGCCTTTGCTGTTGCTATTATTATTGTCTGCAGGTACTGAGTCTAGGACAGAATGGTCTTAGTAGTTTTTCTTGGTTGAAGATATCAGTACTTGAAACTCTCTTGCCTATTAAACAAGTACAGAAAGGGAGTCTTAACATAGTGCTTCTCAACTTTGGCTTTGGATTGGAATTATCAAAGGAAACTTTGAAAATCTTTGGATGGATGCCTGGGTCCTGCTTTGTTGATATTCTGTTTTAATTAATCAGGGGCTATGGCCTTGCCATAGGGATTTTAGAGCACCTCAGGTGAATCACAGTTGAGAGCCACAGCTTTACAGAGTGCTGTGGATAACTTCCTGAATTATTTTGCAAGAGAAAATGTGTGAAACTCTTCAAAATTTTTCACCCCTGTATTTTTGAATTTACACTTATAATTAGAGATTGTAATTCAGTAGTAAACTTAATTCAGAGTAAATTCACTAGCAAAAATATCATCATGTTAGAAATGTCCTACCCACACAAGGCATTTCTATTTTTGGCCAGGTATTGTTCTATTGCCTTGTATGTTTAGACAATTGGTTGCTTAGCTTTTTCATACTCTCAGTCCACTTTAATATTTGGCATTTAAATATTCAAGGTAATTGAGTACACTTTCATAGTATTTTCTCCAGGACATCCTGGAGTCTTTTTTTTCTAAGGTGTTATTTTTTTCTATTTAGAAATATTTGCTTATATGCATATTTGTTCTTGCCTGGAAGTCTTTGAATAGATAATGATGAGAACCAGAATAATAACCATTTAGGAAAAAAAAGGACAAAAATAACTGACTACCCTTTGATAATGAGGCAGTATTCGGTGATTTGTGCCTACCCTCCTATAGTTGTTCAACGGGAAGACATCTTTGAAAGAAATCTGGAATGGCAACCTAGTTTTAGAGAGTTTTGTTTGGCATTTTAAATTTGATATAATATCTAGACATCTCAAAATGTCAGTCTTAATCTTGAGAGTGCAGAACTAATGAGTGCTACAGACTTGTGAGTCATTTACATTGGATGGTAGATCAACCTGTGGACATGGAGGCCCAAATTCCCAAGGATGAATATTTGCTTCATTCCTCATTAACTGTAAAACCAAACTATTGGTAATCTTTTAAACTTCTTCTGTTTCTGTTTCTTTATCTGTAAAATCATAAACATAGCAATCCATTGGCTGATTGTGAGGATTAAATAAGGTGAACCATATAGGGCATTTCAGTCATACCTGGTACATGAAAATTGCTCCCTGTTAGAAATGCTAATAATTATCCTAAGAAAGCTATTATATTTGTCTTGAAGACTAGTTTTGAGAAATAGTAGAACTATTTCTTTTTTTTTTCTTTGGTGCTAGGAATTCTGAAATTACAGCAATTTCTAAGAATGCTGTGCAAGAATTTGAGATAAGGACGGGACACACACATTGGGTATAACGGTTACATTCATGATTCAGTTTCTATTCTGAAGATAGGTTTATGGTTAAGAGACAATTGTAGTTCTAAAAAAAGAAGAGGAGCTGGCATGATGGCTGAGACTGGGAGGATCCAGGATTCCAGGCCAGTGTGGGGAAAAATAAATTTCACAAAACCTCATCTCAACCAATAGGGTCTGGTGGTGCATGCTTGTTACCCCAGCCATCTGGGAGATTGAGATCAAGAGTATAGTGGTTCATTCTTGAAATCCTGTCTCAACAGAAAAAGCTGGGTGTCGTGGCATGCCTGTCATCCCAGTTATTAGCAGGAAGCATAAAATAGGAGGGTTGTAGTCCATGTCAACGTGGGCAAAAAGCAAAACTCTATTTCAAGAATAACCAGAGCAAAAAGGGCTAGAGGCATGACACAAGAGGTAGAGTGCCTATCTAGCAAGCACAGGGCTCTGAGTTCAATCCTCCAGTACCACCGAAAGAAACAAAATAGATTAAACAATAGATTATACATTTTCTAATGTGGATGTATATTGTTAAGTGATTAAGACATTTTTAAGCTGTTATATATTATATAGCGTAACTGTATAACTTGTTTATGCCCTATTTAGTTCCTTCTTTACCTTTTATAGTGTGACTTTTAGGAATTTTCAAGTAAACAATCCTATTTATGATAGGCTATTTAAAACAAGTCTTGAACAACTCACTAAGATCTATAATACTTTGAAAATTACAACATTATTTTTGTTTATTTTTCAGTAGGAGATGAAACCTCAGATTGCTTATGCATCGGTTTGGAAACAAATGACACATAGGATACCCTATAATTGCTATCTTGTTTTAGATGCTCCAGATCTAGAATAAAAATGGTAAGCACAGAACTACAACTTCTAGTATGAAAG